CTGACATTGAGGCACTTCTGCTTAAGTCAAAACTAAGATATATTAGCATGTCTGAAATCTAGCAGCCAGCTGCTCTTGTAATACAAACCCTATTAAGCAATCAGAATAAAACTAAAATCTAATGACAGATCTAGAAAAAAGAACAAGCCTGAATCAAGTAGAGAACAAAGTTCCTTTGACTGCAGAAACTGCTTACAGATTTGTGGGCAGTTTCATTAGTACACAAATTCTGCTCCAGGAGATCAAAATGATGCAACAATTAATAAACCAGAATTATTTTTTTTTTTCCACTCATGTACAAAGCAATTGCTACCCCAATGGCCAGACTTCTAGTTTGGCTCAAGCATGGGAACAAAATCAGCTTACAGTCTGAACACATAAAACAAAAGGAATAGTATTTCTCCACATTTAACTCCCGCAACTTCTGTTTTATTACACTGGTGTAGCTTCTCTCTACTACTTGCATCTTATCTAAGTTAATGCAGAAGCATTAAAGCAACCGTCAAGGACACACTGACCTCAGCAATGGAGCTTCCTCATGCTGAAACAAGAGACAAAGTCACCTTAAGTACAGAGATTCTAGATTTCTTCTGAGCTTGGAGCACAGAAGCCAGATCAGAACCCAAAGCCATGGCATATGTTCCATCATTTCAAGAAAAGTATAGCTTTTCCAGACACGTGCAGCCTCACGCCAGTCTGTTAAGTACAAGGGTATTTTAAATAGCAGGTTACCCAAACATATGGCAGGTAATAGGCTCGCCAGCTACTTGCATGATAGAACAAAAGTAGAAATACTTAGCCTTTGTCTGGAACAGTATAAGAATGTATCTTGCAAGTTACATGGGGTGGGGGTCTAGATACTGCAATAAAGTATGCTGAAGAATGTAAAGGTTCAGAGGAAGGAAAAGATGTGGTATGGCAGTCCCATACACTAGTCTTAAGGAAAAACATATCTATGTCAAGAGGAACTACTGCCAGCCTTGCTTCTTACAGGCAAGCCTTTCCCTGGTTACAGCAACGCAGCCAGTCCAACTGCTGCATCTTCAGCCAGGTAATTAACCCAGGACACCAATATTCCCCATAATTATTTAGCAAAGGACTCCATCTTAAAGTTCAGTCACACATTTGTCTTAATCCAAACTATTTAAAAACATTTTTAGAAGCCAGAGCTACACAAAAAGAAGCTGGGTTAAACTGAATGATCTCCACTTCAACCAAGAATAAAATGCATTACGAAGGTCTGGTTATTTTTATACAGCCCTTCTGCAAGGAAGAACCATGCAGCACAAGGTCCATGTAGAACTTCTGCAGCAGAAAGATACACAGCTATTGTCTCTTCACACCCTCAAGCAGTTATACAACAAGTTGTTGAAACTCAGCCTCTTCCAAATTGTGATATTTATATTGATGTAGCCTGAACAAAAACTAAAGTTATTGTCTTCCATTAACTAAGTTTTTTCACCTAAAATTCATGCAAATTCAGTAATAAAGTAGCCATAATGAAGATCAGTTTATGGGAAGCTACTGAATCGGCACACACTGATATTTATTCAAAACTATTTAAACTGTGCTTAAAGGATGCTACACAAGGTACACAAGCTAAGGTTATTGCACTACTTTACTGAAAGCACCTCTGTTCTCTGATCATTGCTCAATTCATGGTTCCACACAGTCAAAGGTTCCTATGATTTCTCCCCCGCATCACGATTAACCAGAGAAGAATTTACTGTGCAGATACTTTTAACTATTTTTGTACTTAAGCCATGAAATACCTTGCAAAACTGAGCAACAGAACCGAACAGATTTTTATGAACTGTGCCATCAGCAGCTCTTTAACCTATGATTAGTCAGTGATACAACACAGCTACCCAACTACCTATGTTAACTAGAGAATGCTACCCTGACAGAATTCAGTTCACTTAGACCTTCATTACTGCCAAGTTTTCTTAAAGTTAGTAATACAGCAGCTTATACTGCTGCTTTTATAAAGCCATTCACAGAAAAGAGCAGTGAAGACGAGCTCCATCATGTGTTAGGCAGCCTTTTACTGGAGGTGATATTAGCAACCTGAATACATGTTCGTAGACTCTTCACAGGGTAAGACTCAGGATGGCTGATGTTGACAAAATACCGAATTGTGTGTCAGTGTTCATTCTGTGAACCCCACATAGAATTTATTGCACTTTATCAGTAAGTGCACTCAGAAGGCATAATTATTATTAGCACTAATTTTAAAGGCTGCGTTGATTGCTGCAGTATCCAAATAATTCACAGATTCACTTCTTTCACACTCACAAGTTTACAGAAGTATGCACGTTAGTGGGTGCGTATCCAAATGTATCCAAATGTAAACCCAAACGAAGTTTAACTTGTGTTACTCAAAATACATAAACTATCTTTTTTTTCTAGAATGCTTAGCTTTCATATGGGATAGAGGTTTGAGCCTAGCTTCCCCACTTCAGCTTGTAGTTCCACACCAGGTGCAAGCATAAGGAGCTGGGCTAGTAAGCAGCAAGTGAGATACTAACTGCTCCTATCTAAAGAGGATTACTTAATAGGATTTGACTACAGCCAAACAGTAAGAATTGGACTATATCCCTGCAAGTCATACTTCAACAGCCTTAACCATTGTGAACTTTTCTGCAATTCCTTATTGCATTCCTTTACAACAGTATGTTTAACTCTAGCAGTGAAGTGAGTAGGTCTGACAGAACCTCCTTCATGCTTCAAGCACTCTGAAACATACAGTAGGCAGCGAGGTTCTATGGGAACTTCATTAGCTTTCATTTTTTATGCCTTTTGAAGTTTTCAGACCTCCACTGCAAACTGAAGACTTAATCTGATGAAAACTTCCAGTTTCATTAGTCAAATATTGGATAGGTTTTGCAAACAAACTAATGCTTGCCCGTCAACCAAATCAAGATAAAAAGGTGGTATAGCCTGAAGTTAAGCTGCTGAATGAACTGGATTTGTATGTTAGCGTGACTGCAGTAAGGTTCCCAGCTAGGCATTAACCTCTAGCTGTTCTTCATGACAGAAGGGCATAGGTGGAGTAACTGTAAGTGTATCTACAGGGGAAGTGACACACTGCTTTCTAGAAAAACCTCTCCTGTCTAAACAATTAAGTAAAGAATTTAGGTGCTGAAATTAATTTCAGCAACAGCCGATAACTAATGCTGCTGCTATCTGATAGCAAGTAGTTTTATAAACACAGACCAAGAGAAAACAAGCAGTATTTTTGGCTGTATCTTCCAGATTATCTTTCAACTAATTTCATGAAGTTGATTAAAGTAACATGAAACTTCGACCAACTTCTTCAGTGTACAGAAACTTCTTACTCAGTTTAAACAAACTCAGTCTCTTTATCTGAAAGACACACTTAATTTGTCTAGTATAGATCATGCTTGGAGATTAAACCACTTAAGTTACAATTTTATGCTTAAATTTACTAGGCAATAAGATGATCCACTTTGATCATACAAGTTGGAACTAAGGAAAATGGCTGTTACTCTTGTATGCAGGTTTCTAGTAGACCCTTGAATTAAGTGCTAGTTGCTCAGTGTGCACGCATACTCAGTACATGAAAGCAGTATCTGCTGGTCACCGTCTGGAAAACAGACACAAGTGGTCACTGTGACTGGAAAATGGACACAAGTTTTAGACTTGGATTGGGTGATGGAGAATAGTCTGTAGAACAGACTACGCAAAGCCTGCTAGTTCTGGCAAAAATCAGACCGACAGCGTTAGATGGAACCTTTGCAATGAAAAGAAACTTAAAAACAATGTGACAGCATGGGGAGGTGACTAAATGAAAGTTCGTTTTTCTATTTACCCTAGAAAAACAGCCATTAAAATTCCTTCAGTTACCCTACAACCGAAGTTACCAACCTGCATAAACTATGCTAAAATTTCCAAGAGAAAAATGTTAGCACAGAGGCATGTGATGGCTTCAAATTTAGAAGAATTTCTTAACTTTTCTACAGTCTCTTGCACTTTTCCCTTCCAAGCTGTTGTTGACACTCCAGTTTTTGCAGGTCTTCATATGCCTTTAAAAGACATATCATACAAAAAGTAGCAACAGACCCCTATGAAGTTCAGGAAAGTTATTTCAGGCTTTGCTAATGCATTAAATGTTCCAAATAGATACACTAGTCTAAGTCAGGATAGATAATTAAGGTAAATGAGTTTAATCTGAATACAGCAAATGCTGAAGACACATGTATGATCTCCACGCAATGCCTTATCTAGCTACACACACAGCCCCATATCTATTTAAACAGAATGTTTGCCACAGCAACTGCTGGTAGAACTCTATTCAAAAGCATCTCAACTACCCCTCAGAATCTTTAAAATTTGAAGCTACATACACAACTTGAACACAGTTACAGCATGAGTTTTACCAGGTGTTGTTTAAAAGTGAATTGCTGCTTCTTGGAATGCACAAAGATGGAATTAGTCACTGCATAGTCTTCATTTCACATGAATAATTTGTATTGCTGTTGCTTATGGGAGTGGTCAAGATGTATGGTCTCATCAACTACACATTTTCAATATTATTTCTGCTAGAAGACAGCCTAACCCACTACTTCCCTAAAGGGGTTGGGAAGAAGAGAGGGGAAAGAGGAGAAGTTTAAACAGATTCTATTTTCCTGGAAATAATTACGTCCAGCCATGTTTCTTCAAACTAGTTCATGGCCTTCTAGAAGAAAACAGGCTGAGTAGTCACATGGCTAGGATGCAAAGTGTTAGAAAAAGTTTGTGAACAGTAGCTCAGTTCTTTGATATAGGAGGGACTTCTGTTACAGCCAAGAATCACAGGACTGTCAGGAAGTTCTGCAGTTTAGAGAAAATTTTCAATTTGGTTGTTCCAACAGCCTGCTCTAGCATTTTGCTTGCATCGGCAGTTGACAAAGTCAAAACACATAAAAACCAAAATAAAAACCCATAAAAGACTGTCATATGAGGAAATACATATGGTTTAGTATGATCAAGTCACTTACCTTTAAATTTTGACCGAATGTTTGCTAGCTCTTTATTTATCCTCTTTATCTCCGCTTCTTTACTTTTGCCTGAAATCAAAAGAATGCACATCAGGATACAGTGCTTTGGACAACCCTATGCCACCCTAAGTTTCTTCCCACCCAGCCATGTTGTGTGAACATACAAACATCAGGAGGAATTATTACTCTCCCCTCACAGTATTACGACAAGATGAAGGCAAACATCGCAGAGGCAACTTAAGCATCACTTTATAGGGGAATTTGAGAAGCTAAAAGAACCTCCCTGTTTCAAGAAGCTTTGCAGACTTCAGACAGTATCAGCTGCATACAGTTAATCAGATGCCTTTATTAGTGACTTTCACAAATGCTTCAGTTTTTCTATTTCTTAAACCAGCAAGAGAAAACTGAATTTTACTTCCAATTTGATTACTACGTTGACAGTGATCTAAAGGAAAGAGTCTCCTAAGCACAATCTTATAAACAGCTTGTGTTACTCCTCACCTTAAGGACAAGCCAATTTACTGTTTCTCTATTGAACGGTCATTCAGTTCAACAGCTTTAAAAACATTCTTAACAGACACTAAAGAGGAAGAGCAGTAAAGTTATGAGTAGCCCAAAGATCTGAAAGACCTCAGTCACATAGGATACACGCATAAGTTCAGACTTTCAATATGGCCCATGAACATCACTTGAAAAAACAGAAATATTTAAAATTCACATTTTATTAGGTGACGGTACCACCTTAGGCTTCTCACCACAGTCTATATTTCATATCAACTTTTGATGCCAAGAATAGGTATTAGGATTTCTAGTGCAAACTCAAGTTACATTTTCAGAATATCAGCTGTAGTTTAAATTCCAATAATGCAACTTTATTCAAGTAACACTTGCATTGTCCAAACCAAAGCAGCTTGTTACCCTTTAGCATTTTAGTTTTTGGTGACTGAAATTCTATAGAGGTCTGGGTCCTTTATCTCCTACATGAGTGAGCATGGTAGGGTAAAATATCCAACTCAGGCATTGTATTCAGTTGCTTGAAGTTTGAGGGAAGCAAATGAAGTCTACCTCAGCAATGCAGAACTGGCCACCTAATTGCGTTGGAAATTCAGACCTGTAGCTACTCAAACTTTCAAGCAGTTTCCAAAACATCAGCTAGCAGCAGAAAAAGACAGCTTCCTTTACCCTTCATCACATATATTTGGCTACAGGTTATAAATAAAAGTTTCCTGGCCCTGTTTGAAAATGGTCCAACCTTATGAGTAGCAGGGATCAGATGCCCTGCTTTCACACCCCAATCACAACTACAGCCATGTCAGTGCAAGGAGGGTACATGACAAGGCTTGAAGAGCAGATTAGGACCAGCATTCCAAAGCACCTCTAATCTCACTCCTTTCTTCCATGTAGGCAAAGCAACAACTCACAGCATTTAAACATCCTACAATATTTGCATGTCCAAACCTCCTGTGTCACCCAAAGACTGTTAATCATTCCTTTACCAATCCAAAGACTACCTGACAGCAGGCCAGGTGAAAGGTGATTAAGTAACTCAAGGAAACAAGTGCCTCAGGACAGGTTAACAGCAAAGTATTTAAAGGGAATCCCATGCCAAATACATATTAATCCAGATTTTGTAATTTCTTTATTTAGACTCAAAAAAAGAAACAAGTTATGCACTTCCAAAACTAACTCTCACATAAGATGCGGAAAACTAGTTTATATTAATATGCCTATAACAACAGCCACAAGAGAACAGACACGTAGCAAGACTAGGACACTATACAAATGGAAAGAAGTTAGGGCCCAAATAGAAGCAGTTGCTTCGGTTTCCCTCATCGTATTAAAAAAATACCTACAGATTTGCTTAAAATGGAATTTTTCCATTCTACAAGACTGTTTTATAAGGGGCACTGCTCAGAACACTGAAGTGCAGGGTGCCTTGGCAGGCACTCCATACGGCAAAAACACCCCCAACTTCCCCCATACCCAACCCTGAAAAACTACTTACTTTTACCTACTTCTCCACTTACTGCTTTTAAGAAGTTAAGCATTTTCAGAGCTCAAGAATTCACAATATCTGTACTCGCCTTGGTATTCAGATAACGCAGGAGATATGTCCACAGTTTTAATTTGACCTAGAAACTCCATTAACTTCTAGAATGACAAGGCTAGAGACCACAGTATGCTTCCCTCAAGTTTATAAAATACATCTGTTGCGATCACAAACTTTAACCAGTTTTCACTAATATATCACGCAACATGAGTTTCCTTCTAATTTAAACTTGCCAACCTAAAGTAAGCTGGTTTTAAAGCAGTAACACTATTTACTGTATAGAATCATAGAATCATTATGGTTGAAAGAGACCTCAAAGATCAAGTCCAACCGTATACCCGATGCCACCATGCCCGCTAAACCCACTAAACCATGTCTTGAAGCGCCACATCTAAATGTTTTTTTGAACGCCTCCAGGGATGGCGATTCCACCACCTCCCTGGGGAATAAATAAGCAGTATAAATAAGTATAAATAAGCAGCAGCTCCTACAGTCTAAGGCTTGAAGTATCTTCTACTATAAATCTTAGATTTGTCTTAATTGGATTAGATTATTTGTCCTGTGCACATGGCAGAGAGACTCAAGTGTTCATGTCTAAGATGCTTGCCAGCATTAGGAATTTACTACTGAACTGAAGTCTTTGCTCCTGGGTCCATACTCCACAAACAGAGGGCCATAGTAACATATGCCAAAAAGGTACAAGTGTTCATGTAAATAAACAATACTCCAACTTTGTAAGCTATCACATTAGTGCTCTTTTTAAAGACTCAAAAACACTTCCTCTATTTTCAGGAATTCACCTGCTCCAGATGAAAATTTTAATTTCTAAAACTATTAATTTATTTTCTCTTTTACCAAGCAAAGAGCACATCCCATTAAAATGTTACCACTGAGTCTGAAGATTTTGTATTTCATTTGGATTAGCTGGGTAGAGAGCATTGACCTCAGTCTGGGACACTGCTAACCCAAGTAGGATAGTCAGTTACCCAAGTCTGGAAGCTAGGTCCTTGCTCTATATCTTTAGGTTCTGTTTGTAAGGAAAGCGCATTGTGATTTTTACTTTGAATTATTAGCAACTGTTTCTTTAATCTCAACGAGCATGGCAATAATCACTGATGTTAAAAATGCAAGGAGGAAGAGGGAACAAGAGTAAGTACATGTCAGTCAGTTTTTCTTAACTCAAGATGAAACCAAGGCAGACACTTTTTAAAAACAAAATAAAAAATAAAAATTAAAAAAAAAAAAAAATCAACAAAACCTCTCAGCAAACCTTTCAAGCAGCATTATCTACCCATTACGCTTGCAGATTATCAGTTACTGCTAGAAACTGGGTTCTTTGTGTCCTAAGCAAGCAACAGAGCATTAAGGGAAGCCTGACTAAAATACTTCAGGAATTTGTGAAATCAGCACCTTTGGTAGAAATGGACTGCAGCCTCAGCAACACAAAAATTAAAATCCCAGACCCTGTGCACACAGCTGTAGCAGTGAGCTGACAGGAACACCCATATTAAACAGCAAATTCACATCTGAAGGTTTATTCTCTCAAAGTTAAAAACTTGCATAGCATATGAACAAAAGCCTGTTTCGAATAATTCCTTCAGGCTGTTCTATTTTGAATGCCGTATATATTCTCCTTTAGACCTTGACCAAATATAAATAGCATAGCAACTAGCTGGTGATAAGAGTTTAACCCCATACATTGGAAATCAAGTAGAACGATTAAGTCTTAAGTTGTCTCCTTATTACTGATTACTGTCTATACACGCCTGAAATGGCAGTTTTAGAGAGCAGCACTAGCACATAGGGCATTAAATGTCACTGAGGACAGTCACATAACAATGCTTAGGATAACTCATGAGTTAAAACCAAGTTGAAGCATCTAAAAACAAATTTCCTGAACTCCAGCAATTATATTGCATGGTAACCTTACTCAATTTATTGTTTACAGTAGAGGATGACAAAGCAAAACAAAATCTAAGGGGCAGGTAGCTTCAGTTTGTTCCACATACAGGGAAAATTAAATTATCAAAAACTAAGGACCCATTTTTAGCTAGATCTTCTGTCCCACTAAGCAGGCAGGGGGGCAGGGACTGTTAAAGAAAACGTGTTTGATTAACTGAGAAGTTTTCATTACATTACTCAGCCATGGTAACACTCACTGAAGAATTTCTACATGCCTATTTGTTTTTACCATCACTAGAAACACTTAAGTAACCTTAAGGATGGTTAAAAAGGAAGATAAGACCACTGCTGATGACAGTTGAAGGAGCGCTGTGCTGCAGATCTAGAGGCTTACATTTCAAAGCTTGCAAAGGCCTCACTTCCAGGTTGTTACACAGCTCCCATTTTCAAGAAATTATCAGAGCCATATTCCAACAAAACCTGCTGTAGCCAAGCTATTCAACTTGCAGAGGCTTAATAAAGGTCCCATCATGTATACAAACTGACAGGTAGGACAGTATTTAAGCCAGAGCACAAGAAGATTATGTTCCACATCAGTTCAGGCCACATCCTTCTCACTTTCACTTATTGAGGCTTTTTCCAGTTTAGCAAGACTACAATTAAATACCCATAACGAGTTATTAGAAGAGGCAACTGCAAGCTACTAAGTTTTGGCTGGCTGTTTTTCAGAAAACACATATACTGTTTACAGCCTTACAGCTCTAGTAGATGACTGCTGTTAGCCTTTTCCAAAACTACCCGCGCAAACAAGATACCCAGCCGCAACATTGTCCAAGGTGCTTATGAGCGATTACTTCACATTTGGCAGCTTTCCAGGCTCCAGACTCCACTATGCTGCCTACTGCCTTCATTAGGCAAGGTAAGTTTAGTCTGCAGCGCACTATTATCTTTAATTACCATCTTGTTTAACATAGACAGACTAGGGAACATCAAAAGTCATCCAGCTCTTCAGAGAACCAATTACTATTCTTAAATCTCCTAGTAATCCAGGCTACAGTCAGAGTTTCAGTACTGCACGAATAACATCTCCGTATCTCAGTTTGGAGGTTTGCATTAC